AAGGTCAGGTCACACTGACATCACACTATGTATTACATCACACAGCCTTGTGAGTCATGTTAGAGGCAGACAGAATAGAATTTGATAATGAAAATGTGATAGAAAGGCTAAATTAATATTCATGAGGTTTTAATAAAAAAAACTGTGATAATTTTTTTTTTTGAAAACATTTTTAAAAATTCTTTTAATAAAATTTTAATACTTTAACTTAACACATGAAATTGTAAGCATGAATGTGCAGTCTCCAATATTTATAATGATTTTCATATTAATTTTGATCATTCTATTCTGTTTTTTAAATAACTCTTATTCCAGTCAACATTAATAAAAATAAGAAATGAACTGTTAGCAATGGCTACCAACTCAGTGTAATCAATACTCAAGTTAATGTAATTAAATACAGAGTCAAGAAACCTATCAAGTGTACTGGTATACACTTACAATGTTAATATTAAAAACCCTTTAGATAAAAAAAAAAAAATCTTATTGGATAATAAATAATAGTAATATAACAGCAAAATTGCATATCTTCACAATTAAAGTAATTACAGTAAAAGATTTATTTTGTGTGAAAGAAAGTTGATAAGAATACCTAATCAATATTTGTATGGTGCAGTGCAGTACTCACTATCGACATTCAGACAGCGTTATCTTGATACAACACAGAATTATCAATTAGGGATGAAAGTACATGGGCGAGGCGAACAACGTCGATGTTCCAGATTCAACGGCACGATACATAGCACGCATCGACGCCGCCGCTGGTAACAGCCGGCGTACTTACGCTATACCTACCTTCATCTATACGTCCTGCTCTCTATATACAATGACGTAATGCTCCAAAATAAACCAAATAAGGATTATGGGATGGGCTATAAATAGATTTCTCCAGAAATTTAAAGGTTCATAGTTAGATTTTCTTAACTATGGCTAATCGTTAACAATTATTTGACAAACAAGAATATTTTGAAAGTACGATTCATTCAAAATGAAAATACATGGGTGTGTCAAAGATAAGCGGTTGCTGAATTTGCACATACTTGATGAAGATTACTGTAGTACTTATAAATGTAAATCTTACCTGAAGCGCCGTCAGCTAATAATCCCACAAACTACTGGTATTTTATCACTTTTAGCAAAATTTAATAAAAATTCGTTCGTTCGACATACACGTCGCGTCACTCCACTTTACACAATGTTGCTATTAAAAAGATGATAAGTTTGCCAGCTGTTTATTGATTGACCTAGTTTAAATAGAAAGCTTGAGGATTGTTTGAATAGTAATCTAAAATAAAAACCATTTAGCTGTAACTGCAATGTGCTTTTAAGAAGGTAGTATGTTTGCTTGGGACAAAAATTAAAGGAATATCATAACATCCATCATTGTTTGACGTAAAGAATTTTGAAAGCTACAAGTGTCAGTTTTTTAATATGGCTATACCATGGATCAGTTGTCAAATTTATTTTATCCAGCGGAGGAGGTTGTCGTGTTTGTTGTATCAATTTGTATGTCAATTATCAATTAACCCTTGTTAATAATGGCCTGTTGATTATTAAAAAGCAGTGCTTGGAGCAAATATTATCGATGTGCAGTGTAGCGTGTGTGTAAATAATGGCTACCGGCGGCGAAGAGCTGTGGCGCGAGTGCGCGTCCTGGCTTACGAGATGTGGCTTACTGCGTCCGGACCACAAGGCAAATTGGGAGACGAGTACTATTCATGACTTGGCTTATACATTGCGCGACGGTGTATTACTATGCAATTTATTAAACGTATTGCATCCTGGTTGTATCGATATGAAGGACGTAAATCAGCGACCGCAAATGGCACAGGTATGCTGGCAGTAACGATAGCATTTTGAGTATGAAAATTAATTAATCAATAAAATATGCCTTACTGGTTCTATCACTGTAGATGAGATGTTTAAATTATCTATTGTTTGGTTGTAAATTCTAGTCTTTATACTGATAAGTCACCTTTGAGGTCATACAAGGTACACTATCCCATAATTTGCTTACTACAAAATGACTTCTAAAATAACTATTATAGTACTTAATGCTACTTGAACAGTATTGTCCATATCTATCATATGGATGAACTAGTTTAAGGACACTATACAGTACACACAGACTCACTTCACAGTGAAAACACACACACCACACTAATGGACGACATTCCGTATCAAATAGCGAAATGTCCAAAAAAAAAATCAGTGATACAATCCACACCTTTTTGAGAAAATCAGGATGTAAAAAAAATTACATGGATGTTAATTATGTATACAGCAGTGTTTAGTGTTTGGTTCCATTCATGTTGCGTAAAGCATTTCAATTCAATGAATATATTCAACTGTTATCAGTCGAATGAATGAATGAGGGTGTATTTTATTTATGTATTCACTTTATTAATGTTATATGCCTCTGTTTTAGTCTAATGATGGCATCGTTACTAGTCTGTAGTCAGCATTTCCTGATAACCTATAGATTGGTTTATTTCTTTTTATTTATGTGTTGATTATGCATAGACTTAGAAGTAGGGTGTTTCCTGTTAGGCCAGTGAACCCATTGATTTATTTGGGGTTTTTCCACATTGGACCTATGGATTATATGAGTACGATCAGCCTAATGGAAAATAAAAACCCATTAGTTCAATAAAATTATGGTCTAATTGTCTCATTAAGAAACATGCAAGAAGTATGTATATAAATGTTCATATCAATTACAAGGTTAAAAAGTCAAACATTATCAATAAACAATTTCAGTTTGTCTTATTCCTAGGGTTAACATATTTGTTATTTTAACTACATTGATTAGGTTTATTCTGTTATCTTAAATTAAATATTGTAGCAAGAAATATTCTCTCGGTAAGTGTTTGCTTCGAATAAATGTTGCAATTTTACTAATACTATAAATGCGAAAGTTTAGATGGATTTGTTAGAGTTTTTAGCCTAAATGGCTGAATGGATCTTGATGATATTTGGCATAGACATTGAGGATAGTCTGGAAGAACAATCACTTTTGTTTTTTTTTTAATTCCACATCTATGGAGTCACAGTTACATTTGAATTTTGAATCTTATTAGATTTTCAGTTTAATAATAATTATTTATGATTTTTCCTTGATAATTCTAACAGTTTTTTTAATAATAATACAAGCATGGGGATATTTGTTTTAATATGACAAGTTATTTATTGACTGAATATTTTAATAAATGTTATTTGGTTACTCACATAGTTGTATTTGATATGTGACCTTCAAGCTAGATTTGGGATGTAATAATTCCTTCATATAGTTTTGTTAAACAATAATATTTTAGGAAAATATTTAATTCCAGTTTCTGTGTATGAGAAATATAAAAGTATTTCTGCGGACGTGCCATGAGGTTTTTGAGTTACGAGAAACAGATCTCTTTGATCCATCAATGCTGTTTGATCTGTCCAATTTCCACCGAGTGCTGTGTACACTGGCTAAACTCAGTCAGTGCCCTAAGTCGTTGGCCAAAAATGTTAAGTAAGTTAATGATTTGCACAGTTATATTGTGTTTCGTCATATTCTTTTATAAAGATCGGTTGATAGAAAAAAATTTCAAGAAATTATTAAATTACCGATGTAAACTAGTTAATAGTAATTTTTACCTCTTGTTAATTACACCGTAAGGTAATGTTATTATTTTATTTATACTAATATCAAATAGTATATTTTTAGAAAATATATCTAACACTCTTGTTTGGAAAGTTTTAATTTAAAATTACAAGGAATTATTTTTTTACAGGCCATTCTCAGCTCACCGGACACAATCAGAAGAAGATATATACAAAGATCTGCAGTCTGTGTAAGTATTTTTATATTATAGTTAACAAAAGTTTTCACTCTACGATTCTATGTAATACATTATTAAATTATAGTAGCGCAAACATGTCTCTCGAAGTGGCACAGTACGATGGCAATGAGCCCCAGGAGAGGCCCGCCGAAGTCCCCTGGGTGCAGTTTACGATACCCAGTGCGACCTGCGAGGACAGAGTCGAGGAGATATATGAAGACCTGTGCTATGTCAAGTTCACCTCCGCTATGCCCGAGGTGGCCATTTCATTTTACATTCTTATCATGTTCACACACTAGCGCACGCGCCTTGGAAAAGATAATGTTATGCAGCCTTACGTAAGGTTGTGTTCAACACTGATTATTCTTTCCGGTGATACTATCAACGGTTTTGAATATGTTTACTGCACGTTCAGAGTTTTAAAAATTACACATTTTGAACAAAGCGATAATTTTTCTTAAATTAATTTACATTTTGAATACTCGCTTTTTACCTTAGTAGTGAATGAAGCAGCGACAGGACTCCCTGTTTATCATTTCTATGATTATCCCATTATTCAGGGAAAATGGGAGACTTGACGATATTTTGTTTTAAAACCAGTTTTTCAGCAGTGTAAACGTACGTTAAATGACATCGTGTAGGCCATGGTAGTGTGAATGGCGCGAAGGTCTGCGTGCGCCGGTGTGTGAACCGTAGCAGCTGCTCCGTATCTCAAATTTGTTTACGCCGTTCTGCATGGAATACGCCAGCTTAAAATAGACGAATGTATAGAAAACGCAAACCTAACACCCCAGCCCATGTCAGTCAATGAATATTCCTACGTACGCTTTAATACCTATGCGAATAAATTTAGACAAAAACAGAAATGATACGTTATAAAAATAATCAGCTTTAGTTTGAGAAATATAAATAGTCCAAATTATTTTCGCTCGTCCGGAGTTAGGATGAATGACCGCAGATTGCTTAATCTATCAACGACTCAATATAGCGTAACGTTCCTTCTTTCTTTCTATGTAATTTGGTTTTTTAGATAGAGGATAATTTTCTTTTACCTTAAAATCAAACACGATTATTACCCATTTTTGTGACATCAATTAGGTCGAAAGTTAGTAATCTACATACAGGCTAAATTATAGCTTCTATGGTGACAGAATTTTGTATGATGTACGAGCTGGGTATGGAATTTAATTCTTTGTCTACATATAAATAATGAATGTAATGTTTGCGAGTGGTTCGCGTGCGTGCCCTGTTGCCGGATGTGCGATGTGCGTTCACTCGACAGTCGGCATCGGCTCCCGTATGATAATGATCTAACATTATGAACGCGCACGTGGCAACGGCTTACTTTCTTTGCCACTGGCCACTGCCACACTGCCCCCTAGTGTGGCACATTCTTTTTGCAGCGGAAATACTTTTGAATGCATTCTATTCATGTCAGAGCGAATTTTGCATCATTACTTGCGTTGGTCATTTAGGTATAGTTGTCAATCGAACTGTCTACTGATGTTCTTGTCTTTTATAGTTAATTAGCTTTCGCCCGCGACTCCGTCCGCTTGGTATTAAATAGAAACAAAAGTATGACTATGTGTTCTTCCAGGCTGTCCTCTATAACTATGCCAAATGTCATCGAGATCCGGTCAGCTGTTCAGGCTACAAACTCTAACAAATATCCATCCATCCATTCATCTAAAATTTCGCATTTGTAATATTAGTTAGATTTTCTATGATTATTAAAAAAATACTATTATAGTGTCTCCGCCTATCAAAATTCTCAAAGCATTTAGCGAAGCTCTCAGAGGACATTTGTGGTTTTACGTAGGACGTGAGCAATATTGTCTTCTAAATAATTTCAAACATAAATAATCTACCAGGTGTTTTGTTCGTTGTTTTTACATAACCTTTACATAAATTTGTCTTAATATAAAACTGTTAGTCTATGTTTCGCCGATGTAAGCGAAATGTATTGGTTGTTTACTAAAGAAATCGCCGAGTAAAATGTTTCGTCGGAATTTTCCATCCATTACGTTTTATTTATAGAAAAACATCGCGATTTGATTATGGAATTAATAATACAACCGATTTACTGGAAACACCAATACCTGTTTTTTTTTCTTCGCAATAACAAACATGCTTCGCGATTCAGAGTAAAAAAACAAAGGCATTTCTGCTTATAATTAGCCACTTTTACTTATTATTTTCTCATGACACCAAATCTCAGATTACATAATTTTTATATTAATATTATAAATGCGAAAGTTTAGATGGATGGATGGATGTTGGTTTGAGTTTGTAGCCTAAACGGCTGAACGGATTTCGATGAAATTTGGCATAGATGTAGAGCATAGTCTGGAAGAACACATAGGCTACTTACTTTTTTTTATCCCACGCGAACGAGTCGCGAGCGAAACCTAGTTTTTAACTTTAATGTTTTGTTTGAGCAACACACATTGTAGACCAGGTAAAAATCTCTGTAAAACCTCTATATAATCTGGTCGCATAATTTTGTCTGTTCCAGCGATCAGTGTCGGTTTAGTATTTTTGGTAAAACCTTCAACAACAATCATTTGCGGTGTTCATGAGAGCATATATTTGCACAATTTGCTCGCTCTCGCGGCTATAAATTGAGAAAATCGAATCATGTGAGGGTCACATACCACCGCCCCGCCGCAGCCCCAACGCCGCCCTACGACGCCCACGTGTTGCGCTAAATTCACTTAAGTGCAGTTTTATATCAACTTGCATGAACGCTATGTGATTAAAACACTCACTCGAGCCACCGTTTATATATTACCATGACGATCGATCGGTTTTTTTTTATAATATAAGGTGGCAAACGAGCAAGCGGGCACCTGAATCCACCGAAATGGAAAGCGACCGCTGCCCATAGGTATCCGCAATTGCAGATGCGTTGTTTACCCTTAATTGACGGAGGAGGAGACGCACATAAAGAGGACATTTCCTCGTCTTATGCGTCTCCACCGTAAAATCCACTTTTTCTTCCCATTTTTTCCTATTAAGAAAAGGGTGGAAAGGGAAAGGGACTAAAACTAGGCCTCCGGCACCACACTCATCAGACGAAAAGAGGAATTGCTTTCACTTCACGCCTGTTTTCTGTGTGGTCGTGGTATTACAACGGGCGATCCGGCCCATTCGTGCGAAGATATTATAGCGGGGCCTACCACTGTTATCTTTGCATAAAATAATGGCATATGTACTACAAATAACAATACTCCATTTTCTTACACGAATAGTGAAGTATTGAAGGCGTTTAGTCAATCCAAGTAGAATTCTGAATCATCCAGCCGTTGTGTTAATAATGAACATTTCATATATTTTACAGCTATGGTATTTTCTAAGTAGACTAAAGTAATTTTAACTAAGTAAGTCTTGTAATCGATACTTGTCTGTCCGATCTAATTTTAATCTTGTTATAATGGATTTCTAGTCTCAAGGGAGATAAAGGCTGGTAGATTAATTAGGATGCTATATACAGCATTGACATTTACGCCTCCGCGTCTGATCTGTCTTGTCGCCGTCCGTCGGGGATGAGCGTGGGTGAGTGGTGCGAGTGCCAGCCTTAATGGATTATTGGAAAAGATCGAGAGTTATTCTAGAAAACTGTAGAAACAATAAAATACCAGATGATATGTTTTTTAGTCTTAACCTCTAGTTATCTATACTAATATAAATTATTGAAATAACTCAAAAACTACTAAGCATATAAAAAAAAACTCTGTTAGAAAGGTAATTTATCTGTGAATAATAGGCTATGTTTCTTTATTATTTTTTTAATTTTACGCGGACGAACGACTAGTGTTTGCATAAAATAACACGCAATAGATAGTTTAATAAACATCATGGGTTTCTCTCATCATAGTAAATCATAGATTAACGTTTCAATGTTAATTCTCAAAACTTATCTTTTGATATGTCGTCGGATATATCTTTTGCAAAATATACAAATAACCAATTTTCATATCGGTATGCACATCATTTATCTATATACGTAAGCGTACGCTGGCATTTTAAGATAAAAAAATTCTTTACTTTAAAATAAATTTTAGTTGTCTTTATATTTCATACACATATCGTAAACAATGACCGTACTGTTGATAAGAGCGAGTTTTCTGTAAGCTATCGTATTTCGAAGTATAACGATAAATTGTCTTAAGTTCTTTCATGATAGTATTCCAGGAACACTCACACGGGTTTGTGTAGGGGAATTTGAACTTTACGAACATGTTCCATGTATAACGGCGTGATTACTTTATCATGGGAAAAGCTGACAAATCCTTATTGAAGAAGACGAATGAAAGAGGCTTATGCCAGCATGGGTTAATTTTATTCGCTTGGTAGCGTGTGCCTCGACATGCCCGTTGAATTCAGTACTTTGGCTAAGATTTACATACATTTATGTATATTATTGTTTTCTTTTATACTTAAGAAAAGTCAACGTTCCCCTTATAGGGATAGGCATTGAGTTATTCATGTTAATTTTTCATGTAATAATTTCTACAGCTTTTATTAAATGCAACTAAGCGGTGGCTTCTCATAAAAAAAGTGTTGAAAGTTTTTTCTATAAGATCGTGGTGAATTTTATTTATCATTTACTTTCGACCTACTTCATTGAAAACTGTTTATAGCAAACAATACAAAGACCTATATGATTTTCATTTCAATGAAGAAAAAAAACTCGAGCGCTAATACATCTTTTGTATCCACTTCCTTTTAAAGAAATATTCTTTTGTTGTATTTGTTTATAAGCAATGATGGTTACATCCGATAATATGTTCGTATATTTTCGTAACACTTCTGACGTCAAATTCCAATGTCATAGCGAATTCGTTCCGACTAAGTTTGCGTGACGAGATTATCTCCGGTATTATTTTTATGAATAACGAAGGTTAAAATATGATATCCATTTATTTTTATATCAATGAAAATTGAAACATATTAATAGAACAGAAATTGATGTCTTTTTTGTACTAAATTGTCGCATACCTGTTTAAATTTGGTCCTAGCCGTTCGCGGAAGAATCCCGTTAAATGTTACTTACGCGCCTATTTAGACTCTAGGTATTATAAGATTCACACTTAATGGAAGCTCGTAGTTTGCTTTGAGCGTATGTTCAAGCAGGCGTGTGGAGAAAAGCACGCGCAAAGGTGTACCTACAATAGGATTGTGCTCAACATCCCGTTCGAAACTGCGAGCCTTCATTAAGTTTGAATGGCATTATACTTTTGACACAATTAGTGCATTGAACGGATGTAGTGGAGCCAATAGGGACGCACTACGCATGTACCTCCCCTCCTCCCCTTACACCGTCTTTAACGTCCTATCTACTCGTAACGTTATCACTAATTTTACCAAAATTAATTTGATTAAAAATTTTAAAGCTACAAAAAAAAAACTGTTAGGACGACATGAATATGACAGAAACATTTCGATAGTGTAGTTCAATTATAAATGACTCGCATATTTCTATTAAATGTACCATTACTACATTATCAGAATTCCGTTCGGATGGCCATTGCCCGTCCTTCCTTGCGTGTCGCTTGCTGTCCGTTGAATTATATAATTTATTTCAGCATTTTCCAAATGTAGGTCAGTGTACACTCACCCTTACAATAGTGATGTCAGTTTTCGCTTTTGGCAAAATGGGCTGTTAAACGAAGGTCGGGCAAGCAAAGGACATTTTTTATCACAGCAATTTTATTACTATAAAATTATATGACATCGTTACCGATGTTACGCTTTACTATAGTTCTTGGAAGTTAATTACTCGTAATGTTGTATTTTATGGTAATAGTCGAGGAATATGGGAGAGAGTTTAAATATTCAAGTTTACGATGATCATAGAGAAAGTAATTTATCATACAAATGTTGTAAGATATTTATATCTGCAATTATTATGGATAGCTGATCGAAAGAGAACATGGTGCATAAAAACTTATTAATTTATCTGATGCCTTACAGTAAACGGTGCTTTAAAATATTTTTTATTCTAAGTACCTAATTGGTTCGTTTCAATTTTGAAATAATTCTTAATTAAAATATATGACGTGGTTAGTTTTAGCGTTCTTTAGTTAACTGCATGTAATGAGAGCAGTTTGATCGTGGGGTATTATGGGGGTGGGGGTATTAGAGCGTGCGTGTTTGACGTGTGTGTGTTCGGCGTGCGCAGCGGCGTCGCGTGCCCGCCGCGCGTGGCTGACGTGAGCGAGTACACGAGCTACTGCGCGCGCATTCGAGACGAGGAGATCTACCGCGACCTGTGCGCGCTCAAGCCGGCGCACGCGCACGCGCCCCTCGTCCACGCCGCGCATGCTCATACGCTGCAGAACAACGCTTTTACTGTACGCCTGCATTATTGGTTTTTATTAAATTTTATTAAAAGACGTGTGTTGTCTTAAACAAATTTTGAATTTCTAAATATTTGTTAATTGTTGTACCAACTTGTAACAGTTAACTGTTTAACAAATAGGTTATTTTCTTAATGAAATGTTTTAAATCACCTTAAAAAAGATGCAGAATTCTCCCCCAACTGTCATTCCTACGACTTTAGTATTTGAAAACTAAATAATGTATTACCACATAGAAATGTATGGCGAATAGTGTATTCTTACCGTTAATTGCAATAAAAAATGTATGGTTAACAATCAGTTACTTTGTGTACATTACAATGTATTATTAATACTTTAATATACTAATTTTAAATAATAAATTAATTGTCTTAATAAAA